TCTCCTATATCCTTCATCATATTAAAAACTCCTTCTTCATCTGAGTCAATTTCTTTCTAAGTTTTAATGCCAACAAATGGATTCCTTAATTCATTCTCCTTATTTTCAATTGGATTTAAATCATAATCTTAAAAAATGTCATCATTTTAATCAAGTTCATTTGTAGTCTCCATAAAGTTTTAACCATCAAACTTCAAATGATCATTATCTTTCGAGAAAAAATGATATGAGTTCAGCTATATCAAAAAATTAATTCTGTCCTTATGAGTTTTATATTTTCTTCTCCAAAGAGCCTCATCAAGAAATGATTACATAAAGGGATTATTATAGCAAGAGTAAATTTGGAAAAATCTTTTAATTTCTGACCATAAACACTCTACATGGTTTGTAGTTTGGAATTCAGAAGTTCCATACCCTTTCATAGCTTTATTTACAACTCTATGAGTGTAATAAGTTTTTAAGCTGTTATAGCCTCTCCAAAAATCTGTATAAATTTCTGCTCCTTCTTCAACGTTTTCTAGAATAACTTAAGTCAATGTTTCTTCTGATCGATCTTTAACCTTAATAGCTCGAGCTTCTTTGGTTTATCTCTCATAAAATCCTAAAACCCACACTTTTTCATTTTTACCATCTCTTTATTCATGTGAAAAAACGGACTCATCAATTTCCACCGTTCTTCCAAATTTTCCTAATTTAGTTTTTCTGTACAAATTTTATGTCCATATGTGTATTTGCTGCCTAGCATGCTTATACATCGTAAAAACAGCTTTGTAATTTAATCTATAAACATCATCTTCATGTTTGAACTTGTTTCCGGGTACTCCATATGGATTTATTTTTTCATTTACCATTTCCCTTAATTCGGAATGTGCTTATGCAGCGTTATAAGTTCTAACATAGTAATGAAATATTAGACGAGCAATCTCCATTATAGTGAGTTTAGAAATCTTAAAAAGTGTACCCTCTCTAATGCATGCTCTTGACCTACAATCTCGATTGCTGCACCGATAATTATAGCCATCAGATGCTTAAATGATAGTCCTGTTAATTTTCATAATGAATTGGCATCTAGAACATCATTTTTTAGCTGGCATTAGACCTTTTTCAATAGCCCAATCCATAGTGGCTCTAAAGCTTTTGGTAACTCTCATCACTTCTAAATCAGCATCAAAGCCATACTCTACTAATTCTCTTCTTGTCACTCACTCCCAATCAAAATAGTTCAATGCTTATATTCTATACAGATTTAACTAATGTCTAGCTATTTCTTCCAAAGTTCTTTTTTTACTTTACTCCTACTTCTTTTTTGCAAAGCACTAGGCACCTAAATTACCTGGTTGGTTTGGTTGAATTGAAAATTCTACATCCTTTCCCAAAGGAATATAAGACCTTGCTGAGTCTAATTTTTCAACACTTAATAAACTTATCAAATTGCTTGAAATATTATCTGTGTGAACATTAAGACGTGACTCAACTACTGTTTAAATGGAGGACTATTTTATTTAAATTTCATCAGTTTTATTCTTTTCTTTAAGAGGTTGAGTTTTCAAAAATTTCTTTTTTGGAGCTCTCTTTTCTTTTTCAAAATACTTTGGGTCAAGTGTTGACTTTGCAAACTTTCCGATTGTCTCACTCTCTCTTATTTGAGTCCCATCTTCAGGACTTTCTTTTTCTTTTTCAATTTCTTAAACTATATTTTCTATTTTCTTCTTGCCCTTGGTAAAGTTCTCAAATCTATTTTAATTTAGTTTTCCTTTATGATTCTCCTAATAATCATTTGAAATGTTCAATTCTAACTAATTTCATTTTTCCTGTTCTTAATCCTTGTAGTTTATAAAATTATTTGTCTCTGAGTATTTAATAGTGTTAAATGAGCTTAAACCAAAAGATTCACTTAAAATTTTAGTATTAAATATACTGCTCTTAGGTATTAGAGATTCAATTAGAGTTTAAATCTAACTTTACTCGAAATTTTATTCAATGATTTTTGGTTTTAGCAAAAATGTGTGCTCTTAATTATTTTGAATTATCCCTTATTTTTGAAAATTATCTTGGCCATTGATAGTATCATAGAGTAAATTGCAAATTTAATCTTTTGCTTGAATCTAATCATTCTCAATATTTGGATTTCAAGGCAATATATATTACAAACATGAATTATTTGATAAATGTTCCTTTGAATAATTTTGATAATTTTAAGTCTTAACACTTTATTTGACTTTACTTTTTTTCCCTAAAGTATAATGATCATCTTTAAGTCATGTTAACTTTCCTTATCAAATGTTTTAGGGTAAATTGGTATTTTATGGTATTAAAATAGGTTAAAATTTCTTCAGATTAGTAGAAGGCAATTAAATTTTTGGAGCTTTATCTTATTATTTTAATAGCTTTTCTTATATTTAGGGAATCTGTTAGTATATTATCGGCTTCAAAATTGGAATAGTAGATTTAGTCTGCTGAACCATTTGTATTAATTTTTATTTATTATCTTGATTTTGGATTAATGATTCAAATATATTTTGAGTTTATGGACTATTGAATATCTATTGAGTTTTTTCCACAGGAGGAGGGAGATTTTGAGATTATCCAAATATTAAGCTTTAAATTTCTTGATTGTTAATCATTAATATTTATTTTTGGGGAGATTCGTTTCTCTCCAACTCTCGGGGTTTTGGGGTTTTGGGG